CAAATGCTATCAAGCTGAATGAGATGAAAAGTTATTTCGGAAGAAAGGTACAGTTTTTTTCGCACTTCAAATTTTTAACCATAAATTTTTGCTTGTTGTAATCCGGTGACCATTTCAGGTAGCTATCGATGCGTCCATGTGTCTTTACCAGTTCCTCATTGCTGTGCGACAAGATGGCTCACAGTTACAATCAGAAAGTGGTGAAACAACGAGGTTTGCTAACAGTCAGACAGGAAATCTTTTTTTCCCCTAAAATTGCTGTTTCTCTTGCAGTCATCTTATGGGGATGTTTTACCGGACCATTCGTATGATAGACAACGGAGTAAAACCTTGTTACGTATTTGATGGGAAACCACCCGACATGAAGAGCGGGGAGCTGGAGAAAAGAAGCGAGAAGCGGTAGGGATCTTGTAAACATTTTTTTCTTAATTTTGCGCCTTTCCTTTTTAACTACCATTTCGTTTAACAAGAGTACTCAAGACAACGATGTCAAGCCATAAGTTTGTTTTTTGTGGCTTACATGGTGATTTCTGATATTCGATGTTTAGGTTTAACGAAAATATCATTGGAAAATCTAGTTTATTTGTATTTTTGCGTTTATTCTTATATTTTCTTCTATATTCTATATACTGATGCAGTTGATATCTCCTTCTGTTATAGAGCTGAAGCAGAAAAAGCTCTAACCGAAGCTAAGGAGCGAGGAGATACTGAAGCAGTTGATAAATTTGAGCGACGACTGGTGAAGGTATCGTAGTTGATTTACTCCTTACACACTATGACTTATATTATTTATGTGTAGGTTACAAAGGAACAAAACGAAGACGTCAAGAAACTTCTTCGACTGATGGGTGTGCCAATCGTCGAAGCACGCGGTGAAGCTGAAGCTCAATGTGCTGCTCTTGTAAAGGCTAAAAAGGTATCTATTCATCCAGTGATCGTTAGGTTTGAGTTCCTGTCAAACTTGACTATCAGGTCTACGGTACAGCAACAGAAGATATGGATGCGCTGACATTCGGATCTGACGTTCTTCTTCGGCATATGACGTTCGCTGAAGCTAAGAAAATGCCTATCAAGGTTTGCGGTTGTTTCTTTGGTTCGACAAAATCTTCTCAATTCTGAGAAACATGTAGAGCGAGGTTTTGGCTCTTTCATTCCTTCGAGTCAAATTGTTGCGCGTTTATATCTAT